AAATTGAATAAAATCCAAATCCAAATCCAAAGTGACAAAAGCAGCTTTTCAAAGCAGACATAAAATTGCTAACTGTGATGTCATGAAGTAAAAAATATTCTTTTTGGGGGTGGGGGAGATACAAATAGCTCTTGTTTTCCTATCAGGCTGTTCTGTTTGCTTGTAACTGGATGAGAACCAGCTCTCATAGCAATTATTAAGAAAGGTACTGAAAATCAGGGCTAAATTTACCATTTCTATGTGGCCAACTCAGATGACTGATCCTGAGGGGGTGACGACATGAGGATGATGGAGAAAGACTGATCATAAAGATTCAGTTTAAGCAAAGCTTAACCATAATGACCACATGAACATCGGCTTTTGGGGGGGGGGGGCAGAGATATGATAAAAAATGGTTTGCTTTGAGGAACAATTTATCAACTCTTTCTTTAATCTACTGCTCTAAAGCAGGGATGTCAAACTCAAGGCCCGGGGGCCAACTCCAGCCCATGGGTTGCTTGGATCTGACCTGGGGGGGGCACCCTGGAAACAGCAAAGGACTGGACCACAAATGCCTCTGCCAGCAAAAATGGAGCTTGGGGAAGCCATGCCCGCCCCCCTCGAGCTTCATTTTTGTTGCCAGAGGGCAGCAGGAGGCTGAAAATGCAGCCCCCCAAGCTCCTTTTTTGCTGGCAAGAGGCTGTTGCAGCCAAAAATGAAACTTGTGAGCCCCTCTTATCTGGCAGAGCACTCGGGCCACCAACCCCGACATGAATGATGTCAGGCTGGCCACGCCCACCCTGGCCATGCTCCCCATCCCAGCGAGGTCAAACACAACCCTGATGTGGCCCTCAATGAAATCAAGTTTGACACCCCTGCTCTAAAGCATTCTGGTGGTCCTTTAAAGCACCAAGTGTTATTTAAAAAAATACATTTTGGGTCTGGATGAATTGCATATTTGCACAGCAGGTTTTTTTGAGGTCCTACAAGGAAGAAGTAAACCTCAGACAGCTCTTCACAATGCTGTGAAGGATATTTTGCAGGGTATCCTCCACAATGCAGGATATTTTGCTTTATAAAGAGACAAAACTAGATTAGGATTACCTAACCCTAATCCTTACCCCCATGGGTCAACTTCAACCTATTTCAACTCCAGCAGTGGTGGGATGCAATTTTTTTTTACTACCAGTTCTGTGGGGGTGGCATGGCTTGGTGCACATGGCATGGTGGGCATGGCATGGCTTGGTGGGCATGGCAGGGGAAGGATACTGTAAAATCTCCATTCCCTCCCTATCAACTGGGACTCAGGAAGAAGAGAATAGATGCGGGCGGGGTCAGTCAGAGATGGTATTTATCGGTGCTCTGAACTGCTCCAAATTTCCACCACCGGATCTCCAGAACTGGTCAGAACCTGCTGAATACCACCTCTGAACTCAAACCATGCTTTGCTTCCTAAATGGATCAACAAATGAAAACCTGGATTATTATTAATTTTAAAGGAAATTCTGGACAGAAAATTAGAGCCACGGGTTATGAAATATGTAATACTTGCAAGAGAAAGAGATTGATATAGACAGATATTTGTTTATACATACAAACATACATACATGGGTCCGAATTCCATCTGCCAGCCAATGCCAGCTGTCGACCAGCCAGAGGAGGGCCTTCTCTGTGGCTGCTCCGGCCCTTTGGAACAAGCTCCCCATGGAGATTCGGACCCTCGCCATCCTTCAGGCCTTCCGGAGAGCCGTTAAGGCCTGGCTGTCCCAGCCAGCCTGGGGTTGAGTCCCCCCCCCACTCGAATTTGCTGTGCTTGCTGTGCTTTTTTTAAATTGTTGTATCACTGTCCTGTTTGTCTTATTTTCTGTATT